TGGTTCAGGACATTACCGGACTTCTTCCCACATCTTCGCAGTTCATAATAAGTTGGGAACTAATTTGTGATAACAGTGTGCGGTAAATAGGGCTAAAATCCTATTATATTAGCCATCTGCCTGCCTGGTCTTCTGTTGGAGATTATTTTGTCTATTTTGAGTGAACTTGTGTGCGAGTGTCAATTGAAGGTAAATAAAAAGGAAGAGGAAGCGGTGTGGATTTTCTGATTGTTTCTGTTCCTGCACTTCTAAAGGTCTTCGGGGTACGTTACAATCTAATTGAGTGTTCTTGCAGGAAACTTCTTCTGCCCAGTACATATTGCAGCAATACACTGCTGCTTCTGGAGGGCAAAAGCTTCAAAATTCCATCACTAATGCTTATGCCATGGGAAAGGTGAGAATGATAGCCTGGGAGTTTGAGACAGCTAACAAAGTTATGAAGAGTCGGAATTCCTCCAAGGCTGCAGAATCGGGTGGATTTGTCTTATGGCAAATGAATCCAGATATGTGGTATGTGGAACTTGCTCTTGGTGGCAGCAAGGTTCATGCTGGTTGCAATGGGAAACTTGTGTGGCGGCACACACCATGGCTGGGTGCACATGCTGCCAAGGGACCAGTTAGGCCTCTGCGACGGGCTCTTCAGGTGAACCTACATATTGTGCCTCATTCCTCCTACCTGTTGACAACTACATTTCACCACCTTAATTTGGTAACCTAGATTTTCTTTCTGTTCACAGGGTCTTGACCCAAGAACAACTGCAAGCATGTTCATCAATGCCAGATGCATTGGGGAGAAGAAAAAATGGAGAAGACTGTTTCATCCTCAAACTCTGTGCAGATCCCTCAACTCTGAAAGCCAGGAGTGAAGGCCCAGCTGAAATCATAAGGCATGTCTTATTTGGGTACTTCAGTCAGAAAACAGGACTTCTCATTCACTTGGAGGACTCACACTTGACACGTATTCAAAACAATGGAGGGGATGCAGTTTATTGGGAAACCACGATAAATTCTTTTCTTGATGACTACAGGCCTGTTGAGGGGATCATGATTGCTCACTCAGGTCGGTCTGTAGTAACGCTTTTCAGGTTTGGGGAAACAGCAATGAGCCACACTAAAACCAGGATGGAAGAAGCATGGACAATTGAGGAAGTGGCATTCAATGTCCCCGGCCTTTCACTGGACTGTTTCATTCCTCCAGCTGAGCTAAGGTTTGCATCTATGAGTGAAGCTTGTGAGCTACCCCAAGGTCAAAGGGTGAGAACTGCTGTTTCAGCAGCCGCATACAATGCCAAAGTTGCACAACTACACAAATCTCATGAAAGCAGTGTCCGCAACATTAACTGGACAGTGGATGTTTAGCGGAGCAGAAGTCTGTACTCTCACAGTGAACAGGTCTGGAATAGCGTAGGTTCTAGTCTTAACACTTTTGAAGCTGGACTGACAAGTTTCTGGAGGTATATGATCAGATAGCAGCGGGGTTATCAAGTGGAGTTTTCTGTTGAGGATCACTACCTTTTCAAATTTGTATATAGAAATGATCAGTAAAGGTTCCCAAAAAGTGAATTTTGGTACTCTGGGTTTTTGGTGGACAATTAAGCAGAACAAAGCTTGTGTTTCCACTTGTTTTCCGTATATGCGAAATCGGGAATCTGCTGATCATTTATTAGCCACGATTCCTGCAGATCTTTCTGTGAAAGCATTCATTCGTGATGCTGGGAGATCAATTCCAGTAGTTATAACCTCTTCTTCATCGCTGACAATTTTTGACTAGTTTTCAAGGCGCTAATATGTAAGTTATATAAATGGTGGTGATACTTCCAAGGGAATTTTCTGCCATCTTTCATGGAAATTGCCATAGGAAAGTAGAATTTGTCCTGCAACAGTTTTGCGTTTTAAGGAACGTATATAATTGCAGTCTGCTAGTCAGTTGTAACATCTTCTACGTTAGTAGAACTACATTTCTTATTAGGAAAAGAACAGTATCTATGTCGTTTCAAAATTTCTCGGCCCTTTTCTTCTCTCCCTAGCATGATAATGTAATGGTTATGTTCCTTTTTTCTTTTAAACAAGCAATTCATCAGAACGAGTCTGTGTTATGTACCCGACCCTAACGTCATTTACCGAGCGTGCCAAGGATCCAATGAACCCTATATCGCGGAACTGCAAACGTATGTTGCTCGCTTGCGCCTGAACTACGAATTACGATCATTTTGTTGTTGTAATATCGGGGTGGGACTAAATGCCAATGCAGCCTCTAAGCTGTAGCACGATGCCTGAAACACTCGGGAATTTATAATTTTTCATGGGATTAAGGACCTGCTTATTGGTCAAAAAGATCCCGAATCTCATATCATACGTACAGGGAAAAAAAAAGACAAAAAATTGGCAATATATAAAAGATAATTGGCTATTGGTGGCATTACTCAGAAGTTACGAGCAGTATGGCATGTGCCAAATTTTATACTATGCACGGAGAAAATGTTTCTAATTAATAATGCTTCGGTCCCTAATATAGGAACTAATTGGGTAGTTGATGTTTGTCATATATATAAAACCTATTTCACATGTTTATAGATTTCTTTCTAAATCAATTCTATTAATATTCTCTTAACGATAATGAAATAGGAGAGGGAGGAAAGAAATTAAGGAAGATACTAATAGTTTAAACAAATATTGTATTAACTAATTTAACTCAAATTAGTTAATTAGGTTAATTTTAAGGACTGGAGGACTAGTAATTTTGTCCAGTTGGATTTGTTAGGCAAGAAATCTATAATATATTATGATTTTTTTATTCAATTTTGCTTGCATAGGCAAGAAAAGAAAAATCAAATTATCCCAATGAAAAAGATATGAAGAAAAATGTGATTTTTATCATAAAATTGTACTACTCTATATATTCCGTTCATCAATAGTGTGCTTGGATTACAAGAAATGGCTGAGCTCTTTTTCTGTATTTTCTCTCATTCAAGATGAATACAAAAGCATGTAAAACGTATTATTTAAGCAGGTATCAAACTTTTAAATGAATCTTATTACTTGAATAAGTGCAGCGTCTTTTCAACGAAGAAAACAAAAGAAAAGGAAAAAGATCAAAGCATGTATTCATATAGGAAACAGCAATCACTAGAAAGTAAAGTTTTCTTATCATGGATATGTTTATATATTTTAAGAGAATGATGGAAGAAAATGTTTTGTATAGGATTTCATAACTTATCAATATAATTATACACCTTCCCCCTCTCTTCTTGTTGCTCATAGGTATCCTTTTATTGAAGGTACTAAATATGGACATCTTTTCAGTAAAAATTTCAATTTTGATTGTCATATTGTGATAAATTAATCCTCTTCATTAGACAGGATAACCTTTTTCTCTTTTTATCTTATTTTAAACACACCATCTGATCCAGGCCTGGATTTGTCGTTGTGGGGTATGGAAATGAATAGTGTAAACAAGACCCAATACCAGCCAGCCCAACTCAAGCACACTGAGTTTCTTAGTCACTGCATGGTGCATAGGATCTGACCTGTCCGGATCACACATTCGAGGATGGATAGCTTCCGCGCCAGTCTTATACTACATATAGTGTTAATGATCCTCTTAAGCTGAGCTGCCTTATTAATGTCTTACGAATAATATAAGATTGATTATTGATTAATGAATATTTAATTCTACAAAGTAAATTTTTTCAAAGAGGAAAAACCATACCTAACACACCCAAGAAGAAAACAATAAAATTTAAGTGATTAACTGGTTCTGCTTTCCACCTGTGGCAACCGCATATTCTTGAGACCAACACCATTTGTACTTAAATGTGTTTTTAATCTTGGCATATTTATTTATTCGAAGGTGCTAAGATTAACCATGCGCGGGACCACTCTCTGCTTCTGCTTTGAAGGAGCTTGTTCTCCATTTTGAAAATGTGGTCCCTCGTCGTCTTTTTAGCAGCTTAGTGGTTCATCTCTCCCGGCCACTTTGCATTTCAAACTGTCATAAACTTTAACTCGAGAAACCAGAGAATTGTGGGCTAAAGGTAAGGTAAAATCTTAGCAAACTTTCAAGATTAACCGAATTTTCTGCGCTTTTTGCTTAAACAAGTGCTTTACACCATAGGCATAGCTAGGAGTAGAATATTAGAGCCATTGACAAATGAACTTAACCCACATTCTAGATGCTGGACAGCATAATGACTATTTTGCATAGGAAATGTGAACAATCTGGTGTAACTTGATCCCTTTGTCTTTCTCACATGAGGACAAAACAACTCCTTGGACCAGAAAGGACATGCAGAAGCATGGAAAGTCGTCAGACACAATCCAAAGGCGGAAAAAACACTTTTTCAGTGGTTTAACTTTAAAAGAGTACTTGGGGGATGAACTTCTTCATACATAGACGACATAAATGAGGACCACCCCCTCTATCTGATACGTGAAGCACAGCATATATAAAGTATAAACTGGTAAAATAACGTACTTGTATCACAGAAAAGCTAGATCTATTGAAGATTATGGATCATAGACTGTCTGTAAATATTTTTCGTGTGGCTACGCTTACATTTTGGTCTGCAATATATTGTAATTAACCATAAGCGTGTTTCACGATCAGATCACCTTGTCAATCTTTCGACTTTGAGTATCTGCTTCATATACGTTGCATCAAAAGTTTTTGACACACGTAGTAAATTAGTGGCTGAAGCTAGCTGGTGGGCAATAGGATGTTCTGTAGTGGCCATACATTGATATGCATGCCAAAGTTCTATATTTGAACGAGAATTGGATAAAACATTAAGAGATAAATATCAATCCTTCTTATGGAGGCTGCTTCAATGGTACCGAATTACAAAATCCTGCTATTTAATTATATAAACGCCGCTAGGTCTTTCCACGTCATCTGGCTTTTCCCCTGATTATAACTTAAATCCCGCTGGATCTTCTCAAAAGTACCTAAACCCTACTGTTTCAGAAAACATCCAATCACCTTCAATATGGGTGAAGCAACCATGAATTCCCTTGTGAAGAAGAAAAGAGAGATCACTCCCATAACCAAAACTCCGTATAAGACCAGCCACGATATCTCCGACGAGTCTGACCGGGATGAGTTTTGCACTAGGCCATGCTGTTTCTTTTGCTCCGTGAAAGAAGCAGACACATACCTCAAAAGAGCAGAACTAGGGAAGTTCTTCAGAGAGATGCATCTTAGGGATAATCAAGAGCATGTTTTGGTGCTGAGTGGACTGTGGCATATTGCCATGAACCAACCCAATGACCCAGAGTTTCCATCCCTTGGCATTTTCAAGTGCATGGCCAATCTCATCTACAAAGCTATGAAGGACAGAAACTGGCTTCTTACGAACCAAAACATATACACACCCTATTATGCTGCTCATATCATTGGTTCTTACACCATAAACAAGGAGGAGTATGCCCAAATTGCTGTGCAGTCTGGCGTGATACCGCAACTAATGGAGCTCCTAAGAGGAAAGATGAGTTGGATTGAGCAAAGAGTTGCTGTTCGAGCACTAGGACACTTGGCTAGCTATGAGAGTACTTTTGAGGCAGTAGCAGAATACGAACAAGAGTTGGTAAAATTGGCGAAAAACTTGGCTTCTACATGCTTAGAAGTGATTTTCGTTAAATTTGTAGGGCTGAAGGACGTAAACAAAAGGCTCAAGTACCATAGGAAATTGTTGACAAGAGGTATTGGGGGCGTGGAGACGGAGAATAGCAAGGCCGAGGAATGGGCTAGCCAGCTTCAGTGCTGGTCTCTTCAATTGTTAAATTGCTTTGCTTGCAAAGAGAGGTCTGTGAATCTCATCGGTGATTTGGAGTTCCTGGAAGATTTGTGTGATATGTGGGGTGGAATAATGAATTACACGTCACCGGCTGGGGTTGGATTGATTAGAATCTTGTGCTATAGCAAAATAGGAAGGAAAAATATTGCTGAGTCGCCTAAAGTTATCCACACTTTGGGTAACCTGTCAAGATCTTCGGACGATTGGCAATATTTGGGTATCGACTGCCTTCTATTGCTTCTCAAGGACCCACAGACGAGGTGCAAAGTCATTGATCTCGCAGTTTCATATCTCATTGATTTGATTGAACTCGAAAATCTTGGAGATAGATCCAACGTAGGTGAAACAATCATGAGGGTTCTCCTTCTGGAACATAATCAACGTGGTATTTCAAAACCATTGCCGGAACTGCTTCATTTGGAAGTGGACAGAAGGAACAAGGAGAAGCTCGTGTGTGAAGAAAAACTAGAGGAAACAATGGTTTTGATAAGTTCAATAAAGCAACAAGCAAAACACATGTTCTGGTTAGGGGAGGTAGAAGAAGCTGTATCGAGGTATACTGAAGCACTAGATCTTTGCCCGGTGAGGTACAGGAAAGAAAGAATGGTGCTTTATAGCAATAGGGCTCAATGTCATCTGGTGCTGAGAGATCCAGATTCAGCCATCAGCGACTCAACCCGAGCTCTTAGCCTGTGTAATCCAGCAAACACACACGGCAAGAGCCTTTGGAGGAGATCACAGGCTTATGACATGAAAGGGATGGCCAAAGAGAGCCTCATGGACTGCGTAATGCTGATGAACGGGTGCATCAAGATTCCGTACCACGCTGCTCGCATGTTGTGCAAGCAGATGGATGCCACATGGCTTTTTGGTCCTGCTCGCTCAAAGGTAACACTAACACACTGCAAGTCAGTGGTGGAAGAGACAAAAGAATCTAATGGTCGTGAGAGCAACTATGAAGGGCGACCACATGTCCGTACGATGCTGATGAAAAGCAGAGGTCTCATGCCCGGTAAGTTCACATGACCCTGCAGGTTTTTATCATATATTATTATATAACTAAGAGAGTTAAAGTTCAAAAGTAATGCATCGGTGGATCTCATCCGATTTTGAACAAGTTTGGCCTTGTTTAACCTAGCATGGCGCCCGCAAAGTTGGGGCTAATAACTCTACAAGTGAGGTCAATCACTTTGTCTAAAATTTGTCGGTAACTTTTGCCAGGTCTGTCCACCATCGCTGAACAAGCCCTTCTCGCAAAAGAAGGGGAAAGGAGAAAGATGGAAGTAGCGAGGAGCGGGACGAAAGCTGGTGTGGGTGGAGCAGAAGTTAGCCGATCTAAGTGGGCGAGCTCCAGGTAGAATAAACTAGAACCCGCTCGATCAACGTACGGCTCTACAATGGATAATGTATTCCACGAACCGTGTGAAGTGGTAAGAATTTAATTGCGAGTCGCGCATATGGTATATGGCCCTGCACTACGCAGCAGGGAATCATGAAAGAGGACCACATTGCCTCTTTAATATAATGCTGCTCTTGCTTCTTTCTTCTTAATTATTAGCTGCACAGACTAACAATTAGGCTCGCAAAAGCGTCGGCTTTTGTGTAGTTCTTAGTTTTGAACACTTTTTCTTCAAATAAATATCCTAAATGGCAGCTGCAGTGCCTTGAACCAAAACTTTTCGCACACTTCATAAGCCCCTACTAACTACAAAACTTGCAGACATGACACGGTATGATTGGTTAAAAGAAATGGTGAAATTATAATGGCTGAGTTCTTATGTGTTTAACCCGCGGGTCCAACCTTTTTACAGGATAGGGTTGGCTAAAATCAATTCGATAGTAAACAAGTCTTTTAACCCGTCAAACGTGTAGCTTACCACAGGTTGGTTGATTGACCCACATTTATTTATTTTTATTTTTTTATAAATTTTTTAGTTGTTATAATTATAAGATTATATATTATATTCTAGGGTTAAGGTGCATCCAACATCCCAAACTATTTAACTAGGTGCGTCCAGTGGCCTAAAGTAATTTTAGATACATCCAGTGTCCTAAACTAATTAAAATGGTGTGTCCATATCCCAGGCTAACAGAAATGTTATGTTTAACTGTTACTTTCCTGACTCAACTTAAAGTTGACTTCAGATATTCTACATGATAGACACATGGGCACCCGATGTGTATTATTCTTACTCAAAAGTCAATTTATTTAGAAGAAGAGGAAGGAAATAAATTCAATTTTGAGTAAGAATAATACATATCAAATGTCCATATGTGTACCATTTAGAATATCTGGGGTCAACTTTAAGCTGAGTCAAGAAAGTAACAGTTAAACATAACATTTCTGTTAGCCTGGGATATAGACGCACCATTTTAATTAGTTTAGGACACTGGATGCACCCAAAATTACTTTATGTCACTAGACGCACCTGGGTAAATAGTTCAGGGTGCTGGGCGCACCTTAGCCCTATACTATCTAAAAAATAAAAAAATACCTATATAATTTATTTGATATTTTCAATCAAATATTTCAAGAAAAAACAAAAATATTATTATATATTTTTTGAATATTGTATAATAAAAAATAATTGAAAATAGATTTTTTTTATTTAAAAAAAAGAAAGCAAAAAATTTTTGGCGGGTTGACCCACTTGATAGGTTACAGTTGGCTGAAAACCAACCCGCTTTTAAATAAATTTTTTCAACCCAACTCATATAGATTTAACCTGTCATGAGCTAATAGGCAATTTGCAATTGCACGTTGGCTTGTATTACTATTCCTACTAGAGGCATTGTGCCTGTGCGTAAGTTGCTATTTTTCAGTGCAATATTCATAATTTATTGTGGCAGGTAATGATGTGGTTTGATAATATTAAACCTGCCTGAGCTTTACTTTTTTTTTTTTGCCAACGCCTGAGCTTTACTTTAATATTAGTCATAATTAATTAGAGTTGAACAGTATAAGCAGTATATATATTGTGGCTAACTGTTGCAAATTTGCAAATGATACTATTTTGTGTACATTTATATATGAAACTCGAGATAAGAGCAATATTTAGGATATATTTCTTTCTTGCCCCCTTTTTTTCCAACCGGCTTTCCTCCTCTACTTTGCTGTCCTCTTCTCCTCCTCTACAAAACTACACCGTTTTGAGTGTAAAACTAGAAACAAACTCTCTTTTTTTCAAACCAATATCTATCACTTTAAGTATTTTTAGTAACATCCAATATTTTAAAATAATTTTTAGTATATTTAATATCTTAAAATATTTTTCTAGTAACACCTGTAATATCCTAAGTTTTATTTAGACCCAAAAAAAATTCAAAAAAATATATATATAATTGAAAAATAATAAAATATTATAACACTCCCACATATTTATTGAGAGAGGGGGTTTTTCAAACTCAACCCCCAACTTTCCACTGCCGCCCCCAACTTTCCACCGATGGTGGACGGTGGAAAGTTGGACTTTTTTTTAAAAAAAAAATATTATAATAAAATATTATAATATTATATTATATTATTTTTCAATTATATATTATTTTTTGAATTTTTTCTGGACCTAAATAAAACTTAGGATATTACACACCCAGTATCTAGTAAGTTGGATCTGTGGTATATTTTTTTTATAGAACACAATATTTTAAACTAATTTTAGGATATCGGGTATTAATAGTAAAAAAATAATAAAGGGTACTAGATGTAATAAAAATTAGTTTAGTATGCGGGGTGCTACTGAAAAAATAATTCAAAGTGCAGCTTGCTAGATATTGGGTATTAATGAAAAATAATTTTAGGTGCCATGTTAAGTAAAAATAATTTTAGGATGCCAGATACCCTAAAAATTAGTTTAAGATACAGGTATTATTGGAAAAATAATTCAGATTGTAACTTGCTCGATACTAGGTACTACTAAAAAATATTTTTAGGTGCCAAATATATTAAAAATTATTTTAGAATACTGAATGTTACTGAAAAATACTAAAAGTACCAGCTTTTATTTTTCACTTTCAAAACCACGGAGTTTTGAGTAGAGGTGGGGAAAAAGGATTGTAAAAGTTGAGGAGGAAAGCAAGACCCCTTTTTCCGGCCTTTTGTTTTAATGACATCGCCGTCTTTTGATTTATTCCAGGGATAAGAATTGACTTATTCATCTTCTTTTACATTCCCCCGATCATTTTTCATTATCTTTTTGTCCTTTTCTTTTGATTTTCCATTGTTCATCTCGTATTCGCAGAGAACAAATTAAAAACGTATGTAATAAACAGAAATGAATAAAATAGTTGTATGATCTAATGATACTAAGCATTTCTTTTTTTACATGTAATGTTGTATGGGCTCAGTCTTTCTGTAAATATGATGGCGTGTGAGTTATTTTCTTACACAAAAGGTGAAAAAATAAATAGCTTTGAACAGATTTCACACTATAATAACAATATGGAGATTAATCATGAGACGCCACCATATTATAATTTGAAACGGCTCCTCACAGGGTTTTGACCTCTTACCATCTCACGCGATACACAGTCGACGTCATCTTTTCCCTTCTTTCGCACAGCATTTTCACCAATCCTCTAGTTATTATTTCCTGATTATACCATAAAAGGACGATTCTATTTCACAGAATATACTCGTAAAAGGGGAAAACGCCGTATTTATATAAACATTTGTTTGGGATATTGAAGAAGATGTTCAACATATGGGATCCAGCAAAAGCAACACCCAAAGTCACAAAGTAAAAGAGAGTCCATTAGTCGCTGCCGATAGATGTCATGGCTGCTGTCATAGGGGCATCTACTTTCAGATATATATAAAGCCTCTCGCTCCCCATGATCCATTGCACATTCCCTCCCTCTGATTTCTTCGTCTCTTTCTCTTGCCTGACTTAACTACCGTCACTTCCCTCTCCATCATCTCCCTAACTATGACCTGGTGGCGCTCCCCAGCAAGCCATTGGCGTTACCTTGAAGGCCAACAGCCCAGCGTGGCTCTTGTGATTGGCGTTACCGGCATCGTGGGCAATAGCCTAGCTGAGATCCTACCTCTGGCCGACACACCCGGCGGACCATGGAAGGTCTACGGCGTCGCCCGCCGCTCCCGACCCAAATGGAACGCCGATCATCCCATCCAATATATTCAGTGCGACATCTCCGATCCAAACGACGTCGAAGCCAAGCTCTCCGGACTGGTCGATGTGACTCACATCTTCTTTGTGTCCTGGATCAGCCGACCCACGGAGGCCGAGAACTGCGAGGTGAATGGTCGTATGCTCAGGAACGTCCTCCGCGCCGTCATCCCAAATGCTCCAAATCTCCGTCACATATGCCTTCAAACCGGGGTCAAACACTATGTTGGTGCATTCGAGTTCTATGGCAAGATACAGATCCACGATACACCTTTCACCGAGGACTTGCCCCGACTCAACGCGCCTAATTTCTATTACACCCAAGAGGACATTCTGTTTGAAGAGGTAGACAAGAAACAGGGTTTGTCTTGGTCCGTTCATCGTCCTCAGGCGATATTCGGGTTCTCCCCTTATAGTTTGATGAACCTGCTAAGCACGCTTTGTGTGTATGCGGCCATTTGCAAGCACGAGGGGGTTCCCTTGAAATTTCCGGGCACTAAGGCTGCGTGGGAGTGTTACTCTGTTGCTTCGGATGCTGATTTGATCGCAGAACAACACATATGGGCAGCGGTGGACCCATATGCAAGGAACGAAGCCTTTAACTGCAACAACGGTGATGTGTTTAAGTGGAAGCATTTGTGGAAGGTGTTGGCTGAACAGTTTGGGATTGAAGAATATGGAATTGAAGAAGGTTCGGATCTGAAGTTGGCGGAGATGATGAAGGAGAAAGGCCTGATATGGGATGAGATCGTGAAAGAGAATCAGTTGCAGCCGACGAAGCTGGAAGAGGTCGGAAACTGGTGGTTTGCTGATTTTATGTTGCGTGTTGAATCGGTGTTAGATAGCATGAACAAGGCCAAAGAGCATGGCTTCTTGGGATTCAGGAACTCCAAGAATTCTTTCTTGACTTGGATAGACAAAGCCAAAGCCTGCAAAATTGTGCCTTGAACAGTGACATTGGTAAAAGAACGTTATCGCCTCGGGTTGTTTCAAACTGTCAACTTGTCCTCTCTTCTAAAATAAAACTTGTTGCTCAGCGTGAAAGCTTCTGTAAGGGCGAGGTGGGCTTGGACGTCTGTCTTTATAATTTTAAAAATAAAATGAAATGCGTTCGAGAGAGTGTGTCATGTTTGTAATCGATTTGCTGCGACATCGTTACGCATTAGTAGTATTGTGTTTGCTGCAATTGCTCATTAGAGGCTTTTAGATTTTGTGCTTGTTGTGTTCAAATAGTGAAAAATAGTGAGACAATGATATTCTTAAATTTGAAATTTATGGCAAAATTCTTATATATTTTATCTCTTAATTAAATAACTAATTTTACTCTATTCATGCTCACTTTCGTTTTGGACTTGGTACAATAATCTTTAATATAAAAGATAGTTAATTAATTTGAATAGATTAATAAAATTAACTAAGTTTGTTATTTGTAATAAATATGTATTGTATTTTCTAAATATCCTTACTAATCATGTGATTAGTTATTAGAATTATCATTTAATGAAACCGTAAACATATACAACTACTACAATGATTATAGGAAAGAAATAGATAAATTTGAAAGATATAATGAATTAAAATCTTGTATTTAAGATTAAATTAAATATTAACAAACTTTTATATTAAGAATTGAAGATAACATAACTCTGTTGTGTTAGCACTCTTACTGACCGTACAGGAGGAAAACCATTTGATTACAAGATCTAGAGATAAAAATGTTTTGATTACATTGATTTTTTAAAAAAATAATAATTCATGTCTATATCATGGAAGGGGATCACAGAGTGCAGAATAATATATCTCAAGATATGGCATCTCATTAAATATTGTATAAGATTAAGGAAAAAATTACACTCAGGTCTCACAGAGCACAATTAATATAAAAAGGTCCCACGAAATCGCGAAATGATTCTAAAGTCCCCAGGGACCTGTGTGTAATTAATTCTAATTGTGAAATTACCTACTTACCCCTGTTAATTTTATTGCAACAATTCGTTTACAATCTCAA